AATAATAATAATAATAATTTGGTCACTAAATCCACGACTTTGTAGGACACTGCTGTGCGCAATTGATTGCCGCATTTCGCTCACAAAATGTGCAGTCACTTTACAGTATATTCTGTGAAGTGCTTTGAGGCATCTCAATTATGTGATTAGGTGGTATATCAAATGCAAATATTAAGGATCAACATCAGATAATGATGCCAAGACACTCCCTGTGCTGCACTGGAACAAGCTGTAAGAGGATGCACAATGCCTTTGTGCATCTTCTTGCAGCTAGTTCCAGAGTAGTAACAATAATCCTTGTATTGCATATAGGACCTTTCACATCAGGAGGATGTTTCAGAGAGCTTCAAAACACTTATTGTAAAGTATGGTGACCAGGTATTTTGAGATGAGCACAGCAGCTAATTTGTCCACAAAATATACTGCCAATTCACTTTACTCAAAGATGTGATAAGGCACTGTATCAAATACAAGGATTATTATTATCATTTCGTTGTAATGATGTGACTCAATCTTCAGAGCATGTTGAAAAACTGCAAAATAAAGTTTACAGCAATTGCAATTTTAGTTTTTGTACCAGGCATCACAACATACAGTAAGTTGTGTGTTTCCACTGTTTTAAGTTTTAAATATATGAAAGTTAGTGTGAAAGCCAACCTTATTTAGCCTACCCAAGAATCTTTGTCAGTTGCTGCACCTGCCTAGAAAGATATGCTGCTACCTACAATGCACAGACTTTCCTTTTAACCACTTTTTTGGTAAGTCCCTTCTGTGCACAATTTATTTCTGNTTTTTTTGCACATACATTTCCTTTTTAAAGCTGCTTTACACCCACAATTTATTTATAAATTCAGTAACATTTCAGCGTCAAATTCTTTTTCTCTCTCTCATTTTGTGGTTCATTTTCTCCCACCTGTGAGATGCAGGCCGGTGTGAGAAATGTCCTGGCAATTAGTTGTAAGTAGGTCCTTGTGCCTTTGTTATGGATGCCGTGCCGTTTCTCCACTCTGTTCCTGCAGAGCTGTATGCCTGAGGGCTGACCATTATCCCTCTTGGCAGTAACTTCTTTCTGGATTGGTGTAGATTCACTCCGTCCTACCAAGCGTGTCTCAGACAGGCAGATTTTTCAACACACGGCCGGCAGGTCTAGACTGAATTAACTGGGGATGTGAATTGCACTCAAAATTACAGCAAGAAACATAACAATTAGTGGATATTACAAACACAATATTTACACAATATAGACTAATGAAAAGCCCTTGATGGGTCCATATTCCCTTTTGGAAGACTGTTCTTGTTTCAGCTTTTCATTTTCTGATGGATGCACTTAATCTCTCTCCAGGCCCCGGATATTCAGCCCTGCTCTCCCCCCCCACACCCCCCCTTTGGGTAGGGATTGCTTGGTGATTTGTACAAGCTGCTCTTGTAATAGGTTCAGAACCTGACTGCCAAGGGGCTGAGCCACAACTGTTAACCTTTAAAGTGACAAATCCATCTTCTCTTGGCGATTCTTAAATATAGATATGCTTACAAGACATTAAAGGTCTTGTTTGCTGGGGTGCATCCTTTGGTTCAGATGTAAAACGGAGGTCGCTACCTGCCTGTTCAGGTTGACATTAAAGATTCCATTGACGCTATTCGAAAAAGGAAGGGAGTTTCTACCCAGGGCCTGGCCAACAATCCCCCAAATAAAATTGGTCATTCACTTCATGGCTGTTTGTGGGACATTGCTGTGAACAACTTGGCTGCCGTGTTGGCCTATAAAATACAGCCACTTACAGTATGTTCTGTGAAGAGCTTTGAGACATCGTCATATCAAATGCAAGAGTTATTATCTTTTTTCAGAGATTTATTGGCTTTCAACATCTCAAGTCTGTACAGAACATCTGCTTAAGGTCAAAGCCCTGGAGCTTAGCATTTTGTTAATTCTCCTCCCTGATTTTAAAAATCCACAATGTTCCCAAACTTCTGTTTTTAGTCACATACACTTGAGATGCACCCCAGTATTTAATTTAGCTTTGTTAATAGCTTTTGTTTGTTAATAGTGATCTGTCAATCACCTTTGAGTGGAAACCTTCAGTGAATATGTAATTGCATCCAGATCCCTTTCCTGCTTCGCCACTCCTTGCAACATGTATACATGTTTACAGTTTCCCATTCCAATGAGACATCACTTCATTATCCTTATTAATATTCATCATTCATTATTTGGCCTAAGTACTTGGTCCAGATTACTTTGAATGTTATTTGACCTCCCATTATTGACATGGAATTATTAGAATGATGGAAAATTTATTATCCGAGGCTTGGTCTCATCCTGAATTATTAATGATACCGTGAGCAGCAGGAAACCCAGTAAGAGAGTTTGTGAGACTCTGTGAGCTGCTGCCCACACAATCCCATTTCAGCTTTTTTTTATTTATCATCGCCTTCTGCTTCCTATTACTGAACCAATTTTCGATCCAGCTAGCTAATTTGTTATTAATTCCACGAGATTTAACCTTCTTTGAGGTTCCCCTGTAGAACTGTACTAGATGCCTTCTGAAAATCCAAATAAATGAATTATCTACTGAATATCCCTGATTTGCCAGGGTTTCAAACTGAAGTTACTTCAAAGAATTCCAGTAGATTCAGGTAGTGTGATTATTGCTCCTACATCTGTACCTATTTACACTTTGCAGCCCCTGTGCTCTTTTTGATTGGCATCAATTGCAGGTTTTTGCCATATAATGCGCTCAAGCATTTTCTCACTACATAAGTTAGGTTAACTCCTCCGCCATTAACATCCTGGGGTGTAACCTTTGACAAGCAGTGTAACTGGGTCAAGCTAAATAAAACTACAAGAGCAGGGTGGAGACTGTTAGAATAAAAATAGTCTTGGCATTTAATATAGTGCCTTTCACTATAGAAGACGTCTCAAGCGCTTCGTAGGATTTACTGTAAAGTGTAGCGACTGTATTTCGGAGGGAAATATAATTGTAAGCTTCATAGTCTACGACAAAGGCTCACCTCTTAACCCATCAAAGTCTCTCCATCATCTGCGAGTCATGTCAGGTGTGTGATGGAATACTTGCCGCTTGCCTGGATGAGTGCTGCTGCAATAATGCTCGTATCTCAAAATAAACATAAATATAAAAACGACTGTTTGTGGGACACTGCTGTGCGCAATTGGCTGCCGTGTTTCGCCCACAACATATACAGTCAATTCACTTTACAGTATATTCTGTGAAACGTTTTGAGACGTTTAGAAGACGTGATAAGGCGCTGTATCAAATGCAAGGATTATTATAGTATTATCATTATTCCATCAGCCAGAAAGAGAGCAGACCTATTGATCTGCACCCTAGCCACTCAGATCAACATCCACTCCCTCCCCTACATGTGCACTGTAACTACAGTGTGTGCTGTTCATGGAGTGTGCTGCAGCAGCTCACCAACCTCGTTTTGATAGCGACCATACAGAGCAGTGCTGTCATGTGAGCAAGACTACCTGCAAGTCACTTGCCATCCTCGACATGTTCCTTCATCATTGCTTGGTCAGGATCGTGGAACTCTCTTACCTATTCCAATACAAAATACAATGCAAAATTACATTTCCATAGCACCTTTCACATCGGGAGGATGTCCCAAGGCGCTGGACAAACAGGAATTTGGACCCGAGTTGGAGGGTGGGGGGGGTTGGGATCAGGCAGGGTGGCCGAAAGCGTGTTCGAAGAGGAGGGTCTTGAGACGTGCCTTGGAGGAGGCAAGGGAGGGAGCAAGGTGAAGGGAATGTGGGATGGCGTTCCAAAGCGTGGGGCAGAGAGGCTGAAGGCCCGACTGCCGATGATGGGGTGGGCTGTGCGGGGGATGTGGAGCATGCTGGTGGCCGCTAAGCGGAGGGAGCGGACAGGTTGATATGGGGTTAGCGGATCACAGAGGTAGGCCTTGAATGCGAGGAATTATGCCTTTGCGGGAGCCATTTAGGGTCAGTTTATAAGATCATCTCTCATAGCACTAGCGGTGTAAAGAGAAGCCCCACCACCACTTTCTCAGGGCAACTTGGATGGAAATAAATACTGGAGAAAAGCCAGCGTAGCCCACATCCCGAGACAATGAGTAAATAAAATGTCAAGCTTGTGTCTCTGCTTTATTTCAGTATTTTCTGTGTGCTGGTTCTCAGGTACAGCTCCAGTGTTTGTGGAACACCTTAAAAATAATAACTAGAGTCAACCTATTTCCTCCTGAATTTCCTTGAGGATTCAAGGGTTTTATCCTGTCTGACCTGGTTGACTGGTAGATATTTGGTTGTTTTATATTTCTTCATAACTATTCTTTACTGATTCCCTCTTGGGTTAAATATACCTGAACTCAAAACAACTGGATCAGGAATGTGTCCACGTTCTACATTTGTCAAACATTCCTCGGATCCCACTTGCTGCTGTTTGCAAATAGGCATTCTGAGAAGCTCCCCTGCGTGAAGGGTGCTATATAAATACAAGTTGTTGTTGTGAATAATGATCCTTGCATTTGATGTAGCACCTTATCGCATTGTTCGATGCAAATCAGCTGTTCTATTGCTTTAACGCTTTTTTAAAAAAATAATTTAACACATTTTATTTGTATGTGGAGATTCAAGAAATGAGGAAGGATTTTAGTTATATAGGTAGGGTCTTCCTCATTCTATGTCAGTTCAGCATCTCTACCTACAGTATAAAACTTCCTTTCCACCTACTCCTCAGTTCTCTCTCAGATCTAGGTCTCCAGAAGCTTTTGATTTTTTTTGCACGTACTTAAAATTCCTTCTTTGCACAATATCAACTTAAGCTTCTGAAAATTGCGCTTGCAGAATGAGGATCAGTATATTATGGGAGGGAGGGTGTAGTGATTGGCACCAAATTGTTCACAGACTAGCAGCCTAATAGTTTGTAAATGCTTTTACTTCTTTCTCTCCTCCTCCGGGTTTTGATGATATCCAATTTACTTACGTGCGTAGGTTGAACTACTTTCAAGGAATAAGGAGACCTGTATCTGTGGTATGTAATTCAACATTTGGCTTGAGTTAACATGTATGTGAAGGGATGTATTAACAATGGGGGTCCTCTATGGAATCCCAGGGCAGGATATGATACTAACCTGTTATAATGTGAGATAAGAAGGGTAAAGACAATAATCATGAATAATGTCAACCGACCAAACATAAATCAGGAATTCGTTAATAATAGTAATAATGGTTCATCAAAATGTGAACTTGGGAGAATATTGTTTTTCGGAGCTCCAAACGTGACAGGGTTCACCCCAATTATCCACCTTCCTGATGATCCGCCATCAAATCTGATGCCGGGTGGGTAGGGACGGAGTGCGGCACGCTCTAAACAGAAGTCTAAGAATGGTTTCTCTCACTCTCGTATTTACATAACAGTTTGACGGTTACAGGCACTTGAGCAAATCCTTAGTACCTGTTTTGCTGTCCTCGTGGAAATAATCCTCAGGCAGGTCAATTTCTGCTATGAAAGAAATAATAACTTGATGACTCAATCCACGACTGTTTGTGGGACACTGCTGTGTGCAATTGGCTGCCGCGTTCGGCTCGCTAAATATACAGTCAATTCACTTTTCAGTATTCTGTGAAACGCTCAGAGATCTCTCGAAGATGTGATAAGGTGCTATATCAAATGCAAGGATTATTATTAAGTCTGGCCCATGGCTCTTGAAACCAATGCGGTAACATGGCAATGGTAGTAATTCTGCAAGTTTCAATTCAACTCTCCCTTATTACTCAACGTTCTTTGCAGGTAATTGTTAATTGTATAGTTATAGCCAAATATGGCAACCAAAACTCCTTTCTCTTTTTGAACAGGTGCCATGGAATCTTTAATTTTCACCTTGGTTCAAACATCTCAGCTGAAGGATGGCATCTCTGACAATGAAGCATTGCACCGTAGTGTCAGCCTAGACTGTGAGGTGTGGAGCTTGAACTCATACATTTCTGATCCAAGAGTGAGAGTGCTACCAACTGAGCCAAGCTGACACCAGTTAGTGGAATTCAAGACCACAAAATCTTTTGTCCCATATGATATGGAAGTTTTGTCAGACTGGAAGTAGGCAAATGCTGAAATTTAAAAAGGCTAACAACTTGCATTTATAAAGCACCCTTCATGCAGGATAGCGTCTCAGAGTATTGAGGATAATACTGAACCAGACAATTACAGACCCATTAGTTCTCCTTTAAATCAATGCAATTAATTCTATGGGGAGAGTTGGAGAAGTACCTTTATAACAATATTGTAATATACAGGATAGACAAGAATTCAGTGGGGCGAAGGTCACATCTGACAAACTAACTTCTTTGACATCTTTGAAAACTTGTAGCTGAAATTGATGGTGGGAATCGCCTTAAAGCAGACAACCTAGAATCTTTCATAATAATATAATAATAATCCTTATGTCTCAAAGCGCTTCACAACATATACCTTAAAATGAATTGACTGTATATTTTGTGAGTAAAATGTGGCAGCCAATTACTCACAGCAGTGTCCCACAAACAGTCATAAATTGAGTGACCAAATATTTGTTATTTATTTATTTTGAAGGGATTATTACTCCCAGAAACCGATCCACCAATCGACTAACAACTGGGTACCGACTTACTGCTAGGTAAACGGAGGCGTCTGGAGTAAGGAAACTTGCCTAAGGTTTCGCCCCACTTGGGAATCCCAATCCCGGGTCCTCTCGCTTACGAGGCGAGTGCTCTAACCACTACGCTGCAGGACTCCACTTTATGTTATTTCTAGTAGAATAGAAAGCTACAGCAATCCAGAGTAGACCTCACCAAAGTATATAAAATACTTATTGTGTATATCTAAGGTAAACCAGCCTATGACTTCAAAGCCAACCCAGGAAAGTAGGGCCGCAGGACATATTTGGAAATTAGTGTAAAGTAAATTTGTAACAGATGTCAGGAAAAAAATGACATAGAGTGATAAATGTTTTGAATAATTTTCCAAGCAACATATTGGGGTTATTTCAAACAAACTAGATGCAAAATACAAGTTAATGCATTGGAAGCATAAAGTTTGGCAGCAAAAAGACGCATCTTGATGGAATAAACCAGCCAGTTCAGGAAAATTAAAACAACCTGGAACGAGGATGGTGATACGATCTGTGTTTTCATAGGAAGAAACTGTTATCAGTACAATTATAGTCGGAACAGGTTAGTTCCAATCCATAATGCATCTTTGTAGTCCATATCCTCTCCTGCTCTAAGCTGACACAGTCATGCTCACAAATTGCATTGGCAACCACTATTCTCCTTAAGTGGGGCGTGATCTGGGGGTAGGTAAGTGGAGGTCTCCTTGGGATACGCTCCATAGATCCCTTCACTTTGATCTTTTCCTCCTTGCATTGAAAATCCTATCTGTCTCTGACCATGAATGTGCTCAAAATTTTGGATTCTCCTTCCTCACCTCTCCCGCTTGCTGTTTGCCATTGTTTCTGTGATGCTCTTTCAGACGGTCTTTCTATATGAACGGTGCAAGTTGTTGTATCATTGTTGAATCTGGGAGGGCAGCAACAGGCTACAACAGTGACAGACAGAATTTCACACCCTAATGAGAGTATATCCTGAGTTTGCTCATTTCACAATTATGTCAATTGAAGAGGTGGCTTGAATGCAAAATATGATCTCATCATATCTGGTTGGGTCTGTTGAATTATCTGATGAATTGATCAACTCATTAGACTGTAAGAATTTGGTTGGTATATTTGGGAAAGATTTCTCAGTTATTGTGTTAGCTGATGATGCAAAGGTCTGATTAAGTACCTGCAGCTCTTCGGAATTGAAGATATAAGCAGAAACCTTGAATCATTTTGAGGACTGATTCTTGCCTGGGATAAGGTTTACATGTCAAATGCAAGGGTTATGTAAAGGGACCATACCATTGTTAAATGATATTCCCAGCACTTATGAATTCTGTTCACAAGATTAATATGGATGAAGAAGATCCTTCAACCCATCTAATCTCATCTTTCCAGAATACCCACCTTCCCATCTTCCCATCACAACATCAGCTGATTCTTAAATGAGTCAAATGTGCTGACTTCAACTACACTTCCTGGCAATCTGTCGCAGGCATTAATTACCCTCTAAATAAAAAAAAGTGCTGGTGTCTGTTCTGAAATTGCCCTTTGCAACTCTTAAAATATGTCCTATTATCTCAACTACTTCTAAACCAGACACATCTTTACAGAATTGAGCTTGATCATTCATGTATGCTAACCCACTCATGTTATCCTTTTGTTGGTATTTCTTATAGTTATCTCTAAAGTGTCTACCCTTGTGTTCACTGGAACCTTTTTGAAGTTATTTTCAGACAGGACTAGTGTAGTGGAATCAGCCTGTGCTGCCGTGAGTTGTCATTTTAAGCCAGTGTAGAAACAATACCTTACTGAGCAGGAAGGGTTGTATTTTGTTTGATTATTTCAAGTTGAACTTTACAGGATGTTATATTTTCTGCAAAGCAAAGAGGATTGAAGTGTGGCTTGCATTGCACTTTGAGGTCGAATGACAAAAAGGAATCTGAAACTCTTGGAAGGAACTTTTTCCTTTGGAGGTTATTGATGGCGCATTTTATATGTTCTTACTTTTCCATCAGCCCTGATACAACTGCAAATTGTTTCCATAGACACCACCACTTTTGTGCCTTGGCCATTCTCATCAACAAAGTTGAGCGTGGCAGAGTCAAATTGCAAAATCTCAGAAATTATTTTATGATCCATCTGGTTATGTAGCAAATATGATTTATTCACCTTTCTTTTCTTTTAAAATCCAATATTATTTACACAAAGTACTTGTATTTTATAGCACATTTTTATAGCATGTTTTATTTTGTGCCAGCGCAGTCCCACAGATGAATTTTGCCAAATCACGGACTGGTTGGGTTGAATGGAGTGTTTCAGTACCATATCACTCTACATTATCTAGAGGATGTTGCCCAGAGCACCCGGAGAAGTTCCTTTCATATCTAAGTATAGGGAAACACTGTTATAACATGGGCATTCACACAGCTTATTTCTGTCTTCCATTGTTTGTGTAGTAAAGTAACAGAAAGCTGTGTGACTTTGGTTTCCTCACTGACCTGGGAGTGACTAAGGAGCATGGGGTGGAATGTTTTTCTTCCGTGTTCTTCGCTGTAGTAGGTTGGCCTGTGTGATGGCTTGGCTTAGCTGAATGTCACAAATGCTGTGCGGACTTGCAGTGAACTGCGAAATAAGTCCATTGCACAACAAGTCATTTCATATGAGAGATTGCAGGAAGTCCTCAGAGAGCACATGATTTCGATGTACTTTCAAATCAGATAGTATGAACATCTGTAACTGTTTTGGAGACTCCTTTCAACCGCACAGGTTTGGGTCCAAAAGTCTGTAACCAAACTGAGAATCTACAGCCTACCAGGCTACCATTGTTCACGAATACCTTTGTGAAGGTGTTGATCAGTTAGGATCACATGTGCCAAGATTTATACAGCATAACCCTGCGTGGACGCTGCCATGTGTCTTCATGGCCAGTACAGAACTTTTAGTGCTGCTTCCTGTTCTACTTGCGCTCGTGTTGGCAACTTTTTTTCACATTTTTCCCTTCTCAAATCGTGCAAGATATTGGTTTGACCTTGGCATGCGAGTAAAGTGCGCTTCCAGGATAGCACTGGAGCAATGTACTGTATCACCTTGGAGTGTTTGAGGGAAAAAGTGAAGGTTTTAAAGGTGTTCTTGTCAGTACTAAATGATTTGTCTCTTCCTGTGAACCTTTAACTGGATAATAACAAGCAGCTGTTTGACTGGAATCTGGAAGCTCTTGTATCTCCACTGAAAGTATCAGATCTGAAAATTGTTTGACTTCCCCAGTTGTGTCGAATTGCTGCATTTGTGCCATATGGAGCTGCTGAAGTACTGTAGCGATGATATTTTGAAAGCCAATCTATTCAGACTTGCTTGCATTAGCCCTTTCCCTTTCTTCCTACACTTCTTCCCCCACCAC